CATCCTTCCACTTTACTGTCTGTTTTCAAAATTAAAATTAATCTTTATTATTAGTTTCTTGGTTGATAGATAATCGTAACATTTGTGTAGCGCGAACAACTGAAGTCTAGGTGATTTTTTTTTGCTTAAAATGTATTTTCTGTCGACAGACTAATCGATCAGTCGTCTTATTGTTTTAGGCCTAATTGTAATATATAATGTTCCCTCTTGGTTTGACCCGAGCTGCTGTAAAAAGCAAACATGTCACTGTAGGAAAAGCATAGCTGGCAACAATTAAATGGTTGATGGCTGAGTTACATTTAGCTGCTACGCTTTATCGTTGATGTTATTAGTAACACATGTGCTGTTCCTAACTGCGTATGGAACAACTTCAGTCCTTGTGGCTTTGAGTTGCAATGTGCAGACATTCTTTGTGCAAGATGAATTACTCAGTACACGCCAAATCATTATTACACAATAAAATCAGGTACTTTTCAGCATGTCTTAACATTTGTACGCTTTGTTTTTTTTTTTAAGTCAGAAGAGTATTGCCTCACTATCACAGTTTCACAAAAACGGGAACTTTTTCATTCAGTGTTTGGGATGGCGTTAAAGATTTTTGTGAATGATATTGGTTAACCATATGAGAATGCGTCTTGATCTGCATTCTGTCCCGTTTTATTTTTGCTCAGGCGGACTTTCCCACAGTGATAGGTGTGACCCTTGACCGAGAGGATGGCAGCACGCCCATGGAGACGGACGGTGACAAGGGCAAGCAGAGTGGCACCACCTACTACATTGATACCAACCAGCTGAGGGTACCCAGGGAAAACATGGAGGTCATGTCTCCGCTCAAGAATGGCATGAGTGAGTGTTGACCCACGGCGTGTGATTTCTTTCATGCATTAAAACCAACATACTGTGTGTGTGCAATGCTGAGAGATCTCCTATAAGAACACACATGGGGCGTGTGTGTGATCCCGTTCTTCGTCACGGTCTGTGACGTAAACTCAGAAATGAATATTTATAATCCTGACAGCTTGATCCATATCCATAATTAGACTGTTTTGGTCTGACAGCCGACTCTGTAGATGAACTCGGCACAAACCTCGCTGACGTATAGATGACTGCTGTTCATCATGAATATTAATGAGATTATTTGAAGACCAAGCCAACTCATTATTATGAGCCCTCCCGTCTAGCATCCTCTTGATGGAAGGCAAACCCCTTTCTGTTTTGGGTTAACCGCCATGTCTGCCTGACAGTGATCATATTTTCCCGTCCCGATTGGTTCGTATGTGTTGGATGTGTTGACCACCCAAAGCCAGATGTGACTCCAGAGCTGTCCTTGGTGCTGAACTGGAGCTATTGTCCTGAAATAGGGTTAAGTCACTGTTGGATCTAGGGTTAGTTTTCCACGCTATAGTCGGAATCTCAGTTTCAGTCTCAAATCCCCCCTTTTCTCCCCTGTTTTCTGTTATTTTTTGTGGTGTTTTTCTCACATCTGTTCGATGCTATCTAGCTAAAACATTATTATTTTATCAACTGGAGAACTATTATCCAAAACTAGGGCTCCAAAAACCTATTTTTTTCATTATTCACTAACATTTTGATCATAATTGTGATTAATTGATTATTTGTTTAGTATATGGAATATAAAAATAGTTTAAAAAAAAAAATGCTCCTTCAATTTTCAGTTTTCAAATAACATACATATATTAAAAGCACTACTAAGTGTAGCTGGTACCAGTGGATGTTGGCCTTTGTCTCGATGATTTAAACATTAGTCAGTTATGAAAGCCAATTCACTTCCTGTCTATTGACCGATCAGGTATTTGACAGTATATTTCCACTCTGTCCAAAACATTTCAAGCCAAACTGAAATTTTCTGATACAAATGCTACATTTTACAGGTGTGTCTGATTTCTGTCACCCTGGGAGTATTGGCGACAGCGGATGTGAAACAAGCGCTCCGGTGCACTGACCTAGCTGATGATGCTCATCAGAATCTGGTCCAGTGGAGTTTGGCTGTGAAGCTATTTAGAGACGAATGTGACACCAATCTTAATTGCAGCATAACCGCACCGTGGGACCACAGGCTCCCTCAGAGGGCTGACCTGGAACATTGGTGCCGGGTGCTCAAATTATTATCTAAAAATTCATCATTGCTCTATTTTCTCCTCCATCTGACCCAGCAGTGGCGATGATGAAAGATACGTGTTTTTTTGTGACGTTTAAAATTTATTTTAACATTTTTGGCGATCTGTAGCCATGAATAAACTAAAGACAGACATTAAAAACTATTTACCAAAACTAGATAGGGAATTTGAATTTGGCTATCCCATGTTAAGCACAGATACATGTTTGGAATCTTTTCTTCCCTGTATAATAGCCAAAAACAGTAACTTGACAGTAATTTGACAGTGTTGTTACATTTAACAAGCCCTACCCTTGTTTTCTCTTCTGCCTTGTTTACAGTTGAGGACTGGGACAGTTTCCAGGCCATTTTGGATCACACCTACAAGATGCACTTCAAGTCTGAACCCAGCTTGCATCCAGTGCTTATGTCAGAGGCATCGGTAAATACTTTTATTTACTACTTACAATCCTTAGCTCTAAGCAAAGTATTGTGAGGCGAGGAGGTGTTTTCTCTTCTTCATCATATCATGGAGAATCTTAGTAGTTTATGTTTTGCTGACAATCATTTACTGTTTTTTTTATCCGCAGTGGAACACACGAGCGAAACGAGAGAAACTAACAGAGCTGATGTTTGAACATTACAACATTCCTGCCTTCTTCCTCTGCAAATCTGCTGTGCTGTCTGCGTATCCTTTACTATTTCACTTAGTCCAGAAAAGGATGGGACAGAGCTAATATGAGTCATTTAATTGTCCCATAACTGTTCGATAGTGGTCTCAGACTACCATTTCCCGTACATAAAGTCTGTTGAACCAATATTGTATCAGTTATACGTCGAACTGTATTCCGTTTCCTTTACTCTGAGTATCTAAGCTTTGCGAATGGACGGTCTACAGGCTTGGTTCTGGACAGCGGAGCCACACACACCACAGCAATTCCAGTGCATGATGGCTACGTCCTGCAGCAAGGTGACCAATTATCATAAATCTTTCATCATAACTTGATAGTCTACCTGCAGATTTTACCTGGTCTACATATAAACCAGGCAGGGGATTCATCACCTAAGAGGATTCATGTACATTTTATGGTCCTTCATTGATTTATGTGCTTATCTTTTGTGATTTATGTTGCCATCTGCTGGTTGGCGCTTGCATCTCAGCCTTGCCAATAAATTCAGCTGTTCCCACAAGTGATCAGTTATTACAAGCTTCTATTACCGTTATGAACTATTGTTGGACAAGAGTAATTTTCAGTGAGCAATCAGGTTTCACAATCTCTTATTTTGATGTAAATGCTGCCTGATAGAAATGGCTTTTCAGTCATGTTACAGTAATGTAATGCTTTCTTGTAGCTATTTGAGTCGAATCTGCAATGTAACAAAAGGGGGAGAGTGATTCAGCAGATTGCTAATCTGACGAATCATAAGGGGCACATTATGGTCATAGTGATGTATCAAGTTGAGCAAGATTAAATATAATGTTAATCACGGTAGATTTACTTTACCTTTTTAAGTCATGTTGTATTTATTCTCTCTGACAGGAATCGTCAAATCGCCCCTGGCTGGAGACTTCATGAGCATGCAGTGTAGGGAGCTTTTTCAAGAATTAAGTGTTGAAATAATCCCCCCTTACATGATTGCATCAAAGGTAAGATATGTAAGTATTGGCATATATTTATCTAGTGTGAAACCTGCTGATGTAACCAGTTTTGCTTTGCTCCATGTTTTCCCCTCTTTTTCTCTCTCCCCTTTTCTTTCAGTCTTAACGTGTCCTATCAAAAAAGGGATGAAAAGCCCAAAAATTGTCTTTAAAAAAAAAGTTGTGTTTTGAATGTTTTGAAAACAATATTCTTACATACAGTTGTACAGATCATACAGTGGTAGAAATATATTTTTCTCTTGTTATCACTGTATGGACTGATTTTGCTTGTAAATCTGATTAACTGGCTATTTGGATACATACATGTCAATGCATATTAACATCCATTTTTTAAAAGGGGTGATTATAATGTTAGCTCTTGGTTTTACATACATGTAAAACAATATGGATTGAACCAGTTTACAGCCTGTAGCACACCGGTCCAAGTTTGTAAATCAAAACCAAAAGAAATCCCAAATTATGACCAGAGGGGTTTAACTTTACTGTGTGTGTTTTTTAGTTTTTAGTTTTTTTTTTACATTATGTACCTACAGTATGCATTGTTCCTTATTGTCATCTTCCTTCATACCAGACCATGTCAATCACAGGGTTTGTCATTACAGGATTCAGTGCGGGAGGGATCCCCAGCCAGCTGGAAGAAGAAGGAGAAACTACCTCAAGTCACCCGCTCATGGCACAACTACATGTGTAACGTAAGCAGCAAACTCGCACTCTTTTACATTTGTTGTATCATTGCAGTAATAAAGGAATTATTATTTTATAGTTGGTTGGTATGTGTTGTGTTTTGTTTAGTGTGTGTTCAACTCGTCTTTCCTTTTGTCTGCAGTGTGTGATCCAGGACTTCCAGGCATCTGTGCTGCAGGTGTCAGACTCGCCATATGATGAACAGTAAGAGCATTATTTACAACTTAATCTGTCCATTTCGTAGACATGTTTCACTCCAGTTCAACAGATTCCCACTACTTGGCCCCTCTAGGAATACACAATATATTGCATGTAGTGTGTAGTCTTAAAACCTGCAAGTATTTGAGGTTCCCACACCAGTGCTTTCCAATGCTTCTCCCACATATGCTTTTCAATTTATGTAAAAAAATAAACGAGTATTGTAGTTTTATCCACCTGTCATGGTTTATTTTGCAATAATTACCAACTTGATGTACATAATCTATGGAGGTTTGCATACTAAAGGTATACATCATCTAAAAGGTTAAAATGTTCGTTTCTCTTTCTTTAGGGTTGCTGCACAGATGCCCACAGTGCACTATGAGCTGCCCAACGGCTACAACTGTGACTTTGGGGCTGAGAGGCTGAAGATCCCAGAGGGGCTGTTTGACCCCTCGAACGCCAAGGTGTGTGCCCACTCATAATTCTAGTTTAAATGTGGAGGTTACAAAGTAAAGTAGAAACATAACCCATACTGCTGTTAAATAAGGAAAGTTCTCTTAGGTGTCCAGATGTGTTGCTTCATATGTGTTATGAATTTGTTTTGTGGAAATGTAATTTAGTGTTTGTGTTTGTTCTGACCACTTCAGGGCCTGTCTGGAAATACCATGTTGGGAGTTGGCCATGTGGTGACAACCAGCGTGGGAATGTGTGACATCGACATCCGGCCGGTGATTATCAAGATGTTTAAAACATGGCGTGCAATGTTTTTTGGTGGCTGAAATATGTTTCCTGTTCTTTGAGACAATTGAGTTGATTTGAGATAAATTTAGCCTCGCCCGGGAAATGTAGATACAGTAAAGGTGAATTTTGGGCTCATTCAATTAAAATACAGCATAAAACGCTGTGAAAGAAAACAGTGATTAACAGTGTCTTGTATTTTGATGATTAGTTCTGACCATGGCGTTTGACCAGTAGTAGTGAAAACAAAATGTTTCACACACTACGTGATGTCAACAAAAATGTAGAAATGCAAGAAATCTGAAATGAATGTAAACAAGGCTGGTTGGGGCAAATTGGGTATGCCCAAAAAATATGTATATTTAAACCCCTGAAATGTATTCATAGTCACTGTTCGATGTCCAACAATGTGACGTTATCACAGAATTTATTCAGTGTCTGATTAGAGGCAGTGTTTTTATAAGAGTGCCTGCGTGTTGCACTTTCACTTTTTGCTCCCAAATCTTCAGCATTGCTTTAAAACCAGAAAGTCTCTTTTGCTGACCTGTGACTTGTGTCTCAGGGTCTGTATGGCAGTGTGGTGGTGACTGGAGGAAACACACTCATTCAGGGCTTCACAGACCGACTGAACAGAGAACTCTCCCAGAAAACCCCTCCGGTGAGTTAACGCCACTACTTCCTCACATATTCTGATTAACACTATTATTTTAAGCTTTAGTGATTCAAATGCAAATTCAAAATACAGTGCGTGTTGTTGTTTATCATGTGTGTCTTTGATTTGCAGAGCATGAGGCTGAAGCTGATAGCCAACAACACTACAGTGGAGCGCCGGTTCAGTGCCTGGATAGGAGGCTCCATCCTGGCATCACTCGTAAGGACACACAGCTAAAACTGTTCTATGAGAATATATCAACATCTTTAAAAAAAAAAAGTTTTTTAATCTTTATGACAGGAAACTGTCTCTCACACACTGATGGGAATAAGAGCAACAACTCCAGAGCTAGTGGCTCAGGCTACCAATAGCTGTTGTTTTTCAGAATAAGGGCAGAATACTGTGGCATTCATACCTAAAGATTTGAAGGGACATTTTCTATTTTATCTCTGATTTATTACATAGATGGAATATTTGTAGTTTTTAGGAAAATGTACTTTTTCTGATGTGTAGGTTTATTCTGCGTGAGAACTGTGTTTAATTTACTTTGCTCCCCAGCGTTGTCTTTAGTTATGTGTGTGTACCCTTTTTCCTGATGTATTCAAACGAAAAATGTTTTCTTTGTCCGACAGGGAACCTTCCAGCAGATGTGGATCTCCAAACAGGAGTACGAAGAGGGAGGAAAGCAGTGCGTGGACAGAAAGTGCCCTTGATTTTGACAACCAATCATAACCCTCCTTGTCACAAGCTCATCATGAGTCATTCACCTCTGACCCTGGACTCAGGAACACCTCTGGATGATCGCTCTTGTCTTGTATGATTTTGTTTTTAAAAATAACTGAGTTTGTCCATATTCTGCCTGTCTGATTTTCACAATAAATCACAGACAGTCATAAACACCTACAAAATAAACTGGTTTGCCTTATCTTTAGGATTGGTGTTTTGCAGAAACTTTGCAACTTTAAAAACTCAGTTTTCTGGAATTGACAAAAGCTTGACCTTGCTACCTATTGCCCATGTCTTTGTCTCCACTTTAGAGTCTGACATGGTCTGTGGGACATTAAATATCAGCATGTTGGTCCTACACTGGCACTGGGGGGAAAAACAATGTGAGAAATGCAATTTGTTGTCCAAAGTTTCTGCAAAATACTGATGAGGCAAAATTTGGGTGTGTGTATTAAGAACAACCTTACAGTTTGGGGTGAATGTCTTTGTCCATACGCCGTTCTCTCTTTCTTTGTGTAGTAAGCTCATCTTAGGCAAAGGCCAGTCAGTTCTCGCCTGTGCTTGAGTGTGAGTGTCAACTCAAATCTGTATTTAATTTTCACTTTGCTTGTCACTGGCTACATATTGTCTTTTAAGAATAAAGTCCTTTTTTGTTAAATGTTTCTTTAAATGAGTGTGATAAAAGTAGAATACTTTTACATGTACATGGTTATTTTAATTCAGAGGGTTTCTTGGTTGTCTGACATGAAACGTTTACATTTAGGTAACAGTATCAAGTTACTAGTAAAATAAGATGAGGAAAACTCAGTACATGAGGTGTGTTTTAATATGACGTATGAAAACAGTGACCAAAACATTTCATGGTGATGAAGCATAATTTATGTTACAGGTTCAGATTACTGCTAGACAAATACACTCAGATTCTACATGGGACAAGTTTCAGACCAACTTCAGATATTTGACATGAGCTGATTCAGACTTGAGTATTCATATCAACTTATATCAGCTGATAAAATGTGTTAGGACTTGTGTCTAGACGACTCACAGCTGTCAAAACCTCCTGAAATTGTTCAAAATGTGTGTTTGAAATTTCACGATGCAGGAACTTTGATGTGAGGCAACTTTTCCTTGAGTTTGATCAGAGTTTCTTTTTCTCTGTTGGCCTTCCTGGCCTTGTCTCGAAGATGCTTCTCTATGCGCAGCCTGCAGGACAGAAAAGTGAGAAAATAAACATTTAGATTTTTGTAAAGATCTAAAAAAAAAAAAACAACATAACTCTCCGCACAATATAAAAGATATGTGGCATATCTTACCTGATGTGTGGTTGGACAAACGAGGGTGTGTAGAACCTCTTTCGCTTGTACCTTTTGTTCATGTACCAAGGAATAGCATACTCTTTGAATCGATACCTGAGGGAAAGACAAGTGTACATGAGTGATTCTACTTCACATAATTCATTTAACAACCATATTACAAACCACCCGCAGACAGTCTAAAGTCAGCGTTGCCTACAGTTTAAAAGTTCTGTTGAAACCAAAACCAGATTGGAATAGTAATGGATATGTGTGACTATAAACCTCACATGGATCCAAGTTTGCTTAAAAAAGGTTTTTTTTGTTTAATTTTTCACAATAATTTGACTCCAATGTGAGTAAACAAGATTAGGACAAAATGACAAAAAAAAAAAAGTGTTTTCAGTGTTGATCACTAACAGGCAGCAAATGTGTATCATGTCTCCTGTGGTCTGCAAAAAAAAACAAAAACAAAAAACAGCTCCATGGTGCTACTTGAGGTCAAAAACTCCACAAGAAACCTTTAAAGTGTTAATTAAGAGGGCTTCATTCTCCATCTATGTGTGCCTGTGTGACAAGAATGTATACAGAGACCCTTCCCCTTACCAGTAGACGTATCCAAACACGTTCCTCCTCCAGGTTCCTGGTCTGCCTTTCTCCTGTCCTGTCTGCAGCAGACGCAGTGCAGTCTCTCTCTCCTTCACCGTCGTCTCCAGTCTGATTATCGACCGTTCAACCTGGGAGCAGGAAGAAAGCAAGATTTACCTTAACCAGGGCTCCTGTTTTAACACAAACACCCACAATACTCCATGTACAAACCTTGCATCCCACCTAACTCTGCCAAAATTGATCCGTCAAATCTAATGATGTCACTTGAGCATCATACGAACCTTCCTTAATCTTTCTGGACTTGGCATCTGAACCCTTTGCCTTCTTGCCTCCTGCTCAAGTGTGAGCAGCATGTTCTTTTCTTTCAACAGCACATACCTGAAATAAAACAAAGAGTGTTACACACAGCCAATAAACGTTTACACACTGTGAATCGCCAGTGTAATCTCAACAGTGCTTACCAGAGTTTGTGTAAATCTTCATTGCTCTTTGTTCTCAGTTGTTTGGCAGTCCATGGTGCACCTATAAGATTATAACAAACCAAAAATGTGTGAAATGCTGCCATCATGCCTGGTGGGCAGTAACAAAACCGTGACACATATAATATTTCGGTGTTTTACCTGACTTCACGGTGGCCTCTCCCCAGTTCTCAGGGAGGTCAAAGAACTCTTCCAGCCCTCTTCTGCTGATGGTTGTGTGCAGGGCTCGACACTGACCTACTGAGCTGCTCGGGCTGTACCAAAAGGGCAGGGCAACCAGTGGAGACCTTTCCCTGGTGGATGCAATATAAATTCACATAACAAGACTTCAATCCGCCGCAAATTACAAACTGCATGTTGTTTTCCTATGATTGCACCTAGGTTGAAGTTGAGTTTAGGCAAATCCTAAAACAAGTGCATTATGCTTCTCTTAAAATGTCTCCTCTCTTCCTTCCTTCCTTAGCTACTGCCCTCTTTTCCTTTCTGACCCAGAAAATGCTTTTAGTGTTTATTTTTGCAAGACACCAAATAGAAGATTAAACAGTATTTGATATATTATTAGAAACATGATGGCACGTTTAAACACAGGGAAAAGAACCGTGAAGTAACAACAGATGTGCTTGCAGAGCCCAAAAAGCCAAGAGGCCTATTGTGTGTAAATCTGACTTAGACATTTAAAGTTCTGGCAAAGACTTATTTAGGCTGAGGCTGGTACTGCTATCTGAACAGGTGCTATAGGAAGTAAAAAAGCAGCTTTAAAGTCTCCTTTTACAGAGCTCTCTCCTAAAAAAGCACCTCAATGTATTAATTATTAATAAATGTATTATTTTAGTATACTTTAAGTATACTGTTGGTCTGTCACATTAAATACAAGGGCTGATGCTGCTGTTTTATTCGCAGATAATGTTTTTACATAATCCACAAAAACCATCAGTGGGCATCAGAGCCAGTGTTAGCTATGAACACGTTGACTTTAACGTCGTTGTATGTGATGTTTAACACACTGCAAAGCGTCTTACCTGTAAACATGAGCCTGGTACTTGGTTGTACTAGCAGCACAGAGCTGAGGGTTTATCGCTGAAGATATCCTTAAGACATTTTGAAACTGTTTGCAAAGAGTCAAAACGCGTCCTGCCTTGGAGGACGCCGCCGCCATCTTTGCTGTAGTACTTCCCACATTACCCGTCATGCACTTTTCCACACTAAATATATATTTTTTTATTTGGCTTTTTTCGAGTTATTAATGTTTGTTTATATGATACATGTATATGCCGTGCTTACACAATAATACCACTAAACTAGAAAATTAATTTAACGGATCTGCCCTCATCAAAAATGGCGGTTTCCGCTTCACTCTTTAATCGACGAATCAGAGATCGTGTTGTTGAGCCGTCGTCCCTCAGTAACGATGGTGGGAATGAGTTTTCTCAGGTCTGCTGCTGCTTTTGCAGCCAGACTGAGTCCTCTGAAATCGGGAAATAATGCGGCAAACTTACTCACCCGAGCAATCCCACAGACAAATAAAGGTAAGGAACACCCTGGTCGTTGAAAGAGTGAGAAGTTTGAGCCCAAAGGTGGTCGTCTCTTCTTATGACCTTGCGCCGGGGCTTGTTAGCCTGCTAACATTAGCTGGTAACGTTTGTCCCGCTGTCAACAAAAACTATAAAGAAAGTAACTTAAGGTTAGTACTTTAATAGTTGGCTACAGGTAGCTGCTAATGACATTTTTAAACTGCTCCTTTGATTAAAGTAAATGTCATTCAGCCGGTGTCATAGTTCCTTTATAGCGTTTGAATGACAAATTATCATTTCTCCTCATATAATCATGATACAATACAAAATACTGTGGTTTATTGTCTTTCTGTCTAAATGAATCAGCACGTTGTTTGTATTTTATTTTTTGTTTTCATAAACTGTAATAACCCGAGAGCTTAAATACGAGAGAAATGTGTATATTTACAATTAGTCGGATTTTATTTCAGTAAACCACTTTAAAACCCATTTGACTCAGTGGGATGCACATTAAACATTTTTTTTCTAAACCTTCGTAAATAATGATCACAACAGTCATTGTGTTCATATTGTCCTCCCGATTTATTTAAGACACACGAGGAATGATCCTCAGTAATGTGGATATCACGAGGCACTGATTGTTCAGTATTGATATGAACCTTATGTTAAGGAATATCATGTTAGTATATATCATGATGTCATTAAAGCACCCAACATTAATTAAGGTAATAAGTGGTCATGGCACTGTCCCCTGTCTTATTTTGCAGTGGCCGTTCGTTCGGGTCATGGAAAGAAATTGTTCTTCATCAAAGCCTCTGACTTCTATGACAGGAGATTTTTGCGCTTATTGGTGAGTATTACACCATCTCATTTATTGCCAGTGATCCTGACTAATGAAAGGGGTTGTCCAAGCCCAGATATGGTAGCTGCAGTTAATAGATAATAAGATTGATGCTAGCTGCAGTAAATCTTCATAAACAGCTGTCTGTCAAAAGCTAAGACACTAAAGTGGAGCCCTGCTGTACCCACTCACTATTTTAAAGGTTGGACAAGGATATTAAAAGCTGGTAATGTACATTTACTCAAATTCAGCCTCACCAACAGTCATTAAAGTTGTATTCTTTTGGGTATTAGTGGTCAAAACTGTTGGAATTTACTTATCAAATCCACCTGAATAAGTACCACGCATTATCGCTCTTTTCTGTATCATATTTGTATTTATTTTTCACTAATGCAGAAGGACTGGCATTTGGTTATATTCAACAAGAGAATAAACTTTACAAAGAGCCAGTAGGGAGCCTTGCAAGTCAAACCCAGAGTGGACAGAATTTCTGGTCTAACAATTACTCCTGTGTTTGTAGTTTCTATGATATAGAGGTGCAATGTAAGGAAATAAACTACTTTTGCATAAAAGTAACAATTATTTTAGACGTGGCTTTGTTAGACCTCCAGACTCGTTTACCCCTCATGCAGAACTACATTAGAATATTGAATATTTAAATATTATTTAATTCAAATTTGTTGGTCTTTTATTTTTTTCTTTAGCACTTTTATATCCTGCTGACCGGCATTCCTGTGGCTATCATAGTCACATCTGTGAATGTTTTCATTGGTAAGTAAGCATATTTCTTAAAGTTTGAAGATGTAATTTAATGAATGAATCTAAAGAAGTTGCATGTTACTTTGAATTGAACTGGAGTGTGATTGTGTTGTGAAGGTGAGGCAGAGCTGGCTGAAATTCCTGAGGGCTATGAACCTGAACACTGGGAGTACTACAAGGTATGTAGCTAACATCGTATCTCATTAGTTCTTTCACAAGTTTTTATGTGTCACTGATCGGGATGGGCTGAAATTAGGAATTGGGCATCACAGTATGTACATACTGTAATCTTCCTTTCCATCACGAAGCTTTTGCTGCAGTGTCAACCTTTCAAACAGCTGTTTTTGCCTCTAATGTTTATTTATAGGCATATTCACAGTGCTATTTGGACTTCTATAATTCTAGATTTTCCAGAAAGAAGTTGGTGTACAGTTCTTCTTACATTCACATGGTGATAATTTAGAGAAATGTGAAAGGATCAAATTTAATATTGTCACAAATAAATGATTGAACTAATTTATTTGGATCAAATACTTGTGTTTTGCAGCACCCCATCACCAGGTGGATTGCACGGAACATCTATGACTCCCCAGTGAAGGACTATGAAAAGATGATGGCTGCAATCCAAATTGAGAAAGAAAAGGCAGATGAGAGGTGAGTGTTCGTACCGGTGTGTAGCTTCTGACATCAGAATCCAGAAAGCGGTTGTGATAACATATCATATCCAACATATCTTGCCTTCTTGTTTGTTACACACCAAACAGACGTGTTTATGCTTATGAAGACTGCATGTAAATATGTGAATAAAAGGGGATGTTTCTCATCAAGCACATATCCGGTATAACACCAAATGCAAACTGTCTGTGAGATGTTAGACCAAAAGGATGGTGGGCCTCTTGATGCAACACCTGGGGAAAATCCAGCTCTCCACAACTCTCACTCTGATGAAACTCAATCTGCAACTGGTTTCTGTTCCTTTTGTATCCAGTCTGTAATCGTTGGAAATCAGTAATAATTAAATCTATGTTTCTTTATGTTGGGGCCAAAGTGGTGGGGCTGTTGAGGCTCTCAAATCCTCTCAATAGATCCCTGAACACAAAGCAGGGTTGACATAACTATGAGCACCACTGACATACACAGCACTGTCACACATTTAGATTCCAGTCAGATTTCTTTTTTTCCAGAAGTTTATTTTAATCACAATCGCAAAAAGGAAGGTTGGATATTTTAGAAGAAAAACACTGTCTGTTTTGGATTTGTCAGAAGCGAGCGAAGGATGTAGCTCTAACACTAGCTTGCCCCGCTTTCCATTTCTGAAGCCTGTTTTGATAAATTCACTGCCCGTTTGTCATCAACAGACTGACACAGTTGGAGGTGCGTCGACAGATGAGGCAGAAGGGAGACGGCCCCTGGTTCCATTTGAACACCCCCGACAAGGAAATGATTGACTATGGCCACAAGTCAACACCTGACAATTAATCCAGAGGTGTCTGCCATCAGTACATCATGCCGATCAATCTAACTGTTTGTACATTTTTTCCCTCTTCTTGCCTAAATAAAGTATCTATGTGGTCTACATTTTTACCTCTAGTGTCTTTATTGGCTTCATGCTCCAAATATATTATAGGTTGCATTGCACAGTGGCTGAGTGTATGGCACTCTGCTGCATGTAGAAGGTCCACTGTTTCTGTTTGGGTTTCCTCCGTGTGCTTCCGAGTGCTTGTCTATCCATATGTGTCAGCCCTGTACCTGTCTAGGTGGTATCCTGCCTCTCACCCAGAATGCGAGGGGATAGTCTCCACCCTGCAAAGGATAACCAGGTGCAGATAGCGGATCCACTGCAGTCCAAGTACTCAAACACCATTCTGATTCTAAAATGGACATATGTATAGGCACAAACATTTTTGCACTTCTATGTAAATGCATACACTGACTGACACATGCATATGCACATTGTTTTATTTGTTTGTTTTTTTAAATGATCCTGAATCTGATTTATACCTTTTGTTTGTAAGAACCTAACTAGGGCTGGGAGCTGCGAATGAACTGTATTTTACATAGTGCTTAAATCCAAACAGGGCATTTAGCTATATACAGTGCATACGAAAGTATTCACAGCACTTCACTTTTTCCACATTTCATTATGTTACAGCCTTATTCCAAAATGGATTCTATTTTTATTTTTTTCTATTTTTTCCTCAAAAGTCTACACCATACCCCATAATGACAACATGAAAAAAGATTTTTTTAAATGTTTGCAAATTTATTAGAAATAAAGAACGAAAATAAAATATGTACAGTCTTTTGGAATATGAAGCCACAAGCTTGGCACACCTATCTTTGGCTAGTTTCACCCATTCCCCTTTACAGAACCTCTTGACCTCCATCAGGTTGGATGGTGAGCGTTGGTGGACAGCCATTTTCAGGTCTCTCCAGAGATGCTCAATGGGATTTAAGTCTGGGCTCTGGCTGGGCCACTCTAGGACATTCACAGAGTTGTCCTGAAGCCACTCCTTCGATATCTTGGCTGTGTGCTTAGGGTCGTTGTCCTGTTGAAAGACGTCGCCCCAGTCTGAGGTCAAGAGCGCTCTGGAGCAGGTTTTCTTCCAGGATGTCTCTGTACATTGCTGCATTC